CCATAACACCAGAAGCAACTGGCCAGTGTCACAAGTATATACAGTACAGTACAGTCATCCCTTGGTTATCGCGCCTAATTGGGACCCCGCTGATAACGAAAGTACAGAACCTATGGGATTTATTCTAATTGGTTCAGGCACCCAAGACCCAACCCCAAGTTTCCCATTTTACGACCATTTAGACCCACTAAATGCAGCTAGACCCCGACTTACGACGGGGTTAGGGATAAATCAGTCGTAAGTCCGACTCGAATAAAAAAATTTCAAATTTCAAAAAAAAAATCAATTTTTTTTTTTCTAATTTAAAATCTACAATGAAATACAGTACACTAAACGTAAAATAATGAGGAATGGATACAGTACAGTAAAAGTAATAAATAATGAGGAATGGATACAGTGTGACTGAGCCACTTACCTTAAATGTAGTCGTGAATGCACACACAGCCCCCCGCAATTTTTCTATTTACAGGATACATGGAACTATATTAATTGGAAGAAGCAGAAGAGAACAGGAGGGCTGGGTGGGTCATCAATGGCTTCCTTCAGACAGGTTTATGTACAGGGGTAGCTTGCTGGTTGAGAAGGTATTGGATCATCTTGAGGTGAAGGCAGCACTGGTGGGCGTGAGAGCCAGTACTGGGGACTTCTTGAAATAGGTGTCCAATTTAGACTGCACAGTTTGCTTTTTTCTTTTTTCATTATAAATTTCTCTTAGCAAGCAAGTGCATCTTCGGTCATTCTGTAACTTTGGCACCACTTGTCATAATTTTTGATCCATCTCATCAAACATTTGCATTCCTTTAGTAATTGTAGCAAATGCCTCTGCCATATGTTTTCACTAGAAACTTTTTGGGGGGTGCTTGCTCTTCTTCTACATTTGTCTCTCTTCTTCCTCTGCAGCTTTCACTGTGCATCTAGTTCAATAAGATCCCTAGTTACTGAGCTCTTCTGCTACACTTTCAACCAACTGTCCAACATCTTCACTATCAATTTCCTGCTCAGCTGTTTGCCTAACTCCACTATCTTGTTACTAATATCCAAAATAACTTCATTTCATTAAATCATACGAAACTGTGCACATATCTTTTTCAGGATTTTCTTCCATATTCCATTCATGCAATGTTTTGTAACCTGATCACATGCTGTACTAATGTTCTTTATACATGACAAATGTTGTACTCCTTCCAAAACTGTCTGTTTTTCTCAGCCTGAAGCGAAAAGGTCGTCGCGTAAATGTCGCAGCTTTAAAGACAACAATAGCACTAACCAGTCCATGGGTTGGATGATAAGTAGTGTTAGGTGGATAACGCACTACCTTTAACATCAAGTGCAAGAAATGCGTCCAGGTGTGGTGGGTGTCCCGGAGCATTCAAAAATCAGTAAAATCTTGAATAGAATCCTTTGTTGCAGACAATACTCATGGCTCGTGGAATGAAACAAGTCATGAACCAATCCTCCAAACAGTACTAGGGTGTTCCAGGCTTTCTTGTTGCTTTGATAAAACACTGGCAGTGTGCTTGCTGACATGTTTAAAAAGCCCTGGGGTTCTCTGAATGATAGATCATAGAGGGGTTTGGCTTGAAACCATAACATTCCCCCCCAACAGAAGTGTAATTCTGTCCTTAGATATCTTGAATCCGGGCATTTTTTTGCCTCTTTGTGGATGTATGTCCGCTCAGGCATGCGTTTTCCACAATAATCAGTCTCATCATTGAATATTTGCTCCAGGCAAATAATTCCCTTCCTATCCACATCATCTAACTCCTCCTTAAAAGCTTGACGCACCAACATCGGCACTAGCTGCCTCTCCACTCACCTTAACATTACTTCAGACTGTAGCGTTTTTAAATCTATCAAACCACCCATGACTTCCTGCAAGGTTTGATCACATTCATCTCCCTGCCTGCTCCTTCAGGCTTTGGAACAGGCTTCTTGCTTTGGCCTGGCAGGATTTAAGAGCGCTTAAGGGTACCGCTTCTTATCTGGTCTTCTATCCATATCACCAATAATTATTCCATATAGTGGATAGGACCTTGTCTTTTCTTTGATATTATAGTTCCTTTAACATAGGTGTTGTTCCTTTCACTACTTCACGAATACGTTCCTTGTCCTTCAGAATAGTGGATATAGTCGAGTGTGAGAAACCTAGATTAGCGTGAGTTATTTGCTACTGTTTTTCCATTCCTCATACTGTGTTATTATCTTCCAGTTTCATCTCAAAAATTGCCTGTCTCCTTTTCCTTGGAGCACCACCAGCACTCTCACTTTTCGCTTTCGAGTCATTATAAAGTCAATTAAATACGATAATAACGAAGGTTCTGTGTGATCAGTATAGGATCGATAGCCAAGCACAAACAAAAGCTCCACTGGTGGAATTAGCTTACGAGCCCAAGACACCCCTCCCTCTCGCCGGGGCGAAAACGTTTGGAACAAATCTTGTGGCGTCATTTGAAAAAATTTTTGGTCATAATGATGCATGATCGTATATCCCGTATGGAATGATACCCGATTAAGCAGGTAAATGAAAAGTACCAATGGGCGTAAGTCCGCGTAGTCGTAAGTCGAGGGGTCTAGCTGCATATATATAATGTGATGGTAAATATCATAAACACACATAGGCATGGCTGAGTTTATTACAAAGTGATGAAAAGATAAAACAATACTGTGATCCACAAAAAGCATGCTTAGCTATGCATTTTTTTATTTGGTCCCCATCATACACAGATCCGTTTTCTCTCACATCAGGATGCCTGAGTCCTCCTGTTTTCTCTCTTAATCTTGGAGTGCACCAGAGACTTAGTTATTCTTAGTAATGCCACAGAGTTTGTGCAACCCCAATTGCAACTCGGGGTTGCAATTGTTGAGAGCAACTAGATACGGTGGGGTATGCTACAACGAATCTAATTGGTTCTAGAATTGTTAGTTATAGCATTAGATTCGTCGCCAAGTTAATCAGTTCCAGGCCCCCAAATACAACCACTTAACACTGAAAAATATATAATATAAAATCTGAAATAAAGAATATCATTAATACTTGTAATAAAAAACAATAAATTAGTAAAAAAAAAATTAAAAATAATAATGTTAGATTTGTAGGAGTTTAAGTTAGATTATAGCATTCTCAATTTTATAGGTAAAACAGTTAGTTATGGAATATTAAGTAGTAGGATCATTAGTTTATAGCATACTTACTGTATGTCTCATTACAGCAAATGTGTTGTTGTCAATTTGTAGGTGAAAGATTTTTATACTCAATAGATATGGTTAACATTACACCTGGAGGAAATGTTACTAAAGGCCTAGGGGATATTCGCTTTAACTTACATAATATTTGGCCAGTATGGGAAGGATCGTAGATGTCTCCATCAGGGGTTGGTGGTGGTGGTCCAGCAGGCGTCCGCAGTTTTTTTTTTTTGAAGTATGTCGCGATGGGGCGTTGTTTGATTGGGCGTTATCCGGCGCATGACTGTATATATATAAAACTTGCCAAATGTTTTTTACATATACTGTACAATAGACTTGTGCATGTGCATGTAGAAGTGTCAGATTTTGATTGGATATTTTTAATCTGTATCTTTTGATTGATGGCTCCATTCTTCTTTCTGCGTTATTCATATTTGCAGGGATTTGGGTGTAGCGGTGCCATGTTTTACATTAAATTATGACATGTGTTTTTAGAGAAAATATGTGAAAGATTGATTAGAGACAAAAATCCTCCCTGCCAAGACAATGACAGCTTCTGTAAGAACCTCCTACCCAAACCATGAGTGTCCAGGGGCTGACTCATGATAGTGTGAATGCCTTAAGCCTGAGCCAATAACAGAGCTTATGAGATGTGTGTCATCATGAGGATGTGGCATCACCTACCCATATCCAGCACTTGATTTTAAAAAGTATAGGTTGGGTTGTGAGTCAGTGGACATGGTAGGTGTTAGGTGCAGTTAGATTAACAATAGAGTAGTAAGTGCACTTTAGGTATTATCATTTTGTAAATGTTTTTGTAATCCATGTGACTCCATTTTGCTGGCTAGGTGTAGGTTGCTTTTGAAGAGTAGTTGTCCATTCTTAATAACGTAAATAAATGAAAAACCATTAACTCTTTTAGGTGGTAATTAATTCGGCATGGTTCCTGAAAAAGATGTCAATTATCCTGCCAAAATGAATTTCATATAATCACATTTTTCTATATGTTTTTCCAAGAGAACTTTTAGTATATTTTCCGTCTGGAACAAAAATTCACATATGTGTGCAAATTTTAGAGAAAAAAAATGACATTTATACCCAAAAATGCAGGGAATTGGTATAAATCAATGTCTGGTATATGGCAAATAAATTTAATCAATTTGGTTACTAAACAGCAAATTTAGATATGTATTACATATTCAGATAATATCAAACAAAATAGTACAAAATAAGCTATATTGCATTCAGGAAATACTCCTATACCTCAATACATAATATGTCCGCATATGCGTCTCATTTGGGGAAAGTTTTTCAAGGCAGTGGGATATCCCGCTTATACTTTAATTAATATAATATTTTGGGCGAGTTTACCCGCATGTCGCATCCAAAGGGTTAAGAAGAGTTCTCAACTCCCTCCCCCTGTGTATTAGTTAGAATATTCCTCATAAGTGTCTTTGTGTTATAAAGTGAGCCATGAGTAACAACAAACCTATCAGATATTTCCCCTAGTGTCTATTTCCCCCCAATTATCATCCTTTCTCTCAGCCTCTCGTCTGTTTACCCTCCTCTCGGTTATGAGGCCAAACCTCTAGTAAGGGGACTGACTGCAGGCTCCCTCTACCTCCTCCTCCTCCTGCATTTCTCCTCCCCTCCTCCACATATAAAGAAAGATTAATAATAAGAATAGAGAATTAAAGATTAAAGGAGAAATAGAGAAATACTGTAGTAAATAAATAGAAAATAAAAAGGAAAAATACCTCATTTTGTTTACTTGTGGATACTTAAGCTTTTTAATGCATCCCAATTTTATTTTTCAGATTGTGCCACCAAGTAGAGGAATATGGTACAGTCTTGTTAATTTTAAGATTTTTTTTTATTATTCTTTTGAACACCATAGAAATGAAGAAGTATCTTTTAGTCCATGATGTAAAGTGGTTTATAGTGATGGATATGCTGCTGATAGGTGACGCTAGGTTGTGTGAACCAGCAGAGATAAACCAGATACTTGGAGCATTGTTATTGAAGGAGAATACTACAGCAGAACACATCTGTTACAGCAGTAAGAAAACAGTAACAGCAAATGAAGGGAGAACCTGTATGTATACAGTAAGGTCTTGATTGTAGGTACTTAAACATTATAGCAAGAAAATGCTTTTGGGAATAAAAAGAGAAAATAAAATGTTCAGTGAAGTTATTTTGTTGTTTTAATATATTTTTTTATTCCAGCTTAATGGGTCAGATACGAGAAGGAGACAATATTGAGAGAGAAAAGGCAAAACTTCTTGTTGGAAGTAAATCTCCTCGAAATGGCCCAAATGTTGAACAAAGAAATTATTGCAATAAAGTAAGTACAATATATAATACAGTATATCATGTCATGTTGACAGTATCATTTCATATCAAAAGAATGAAGGAGGAGGATTTTTTTTTTAATTCAATGGCTAGTTTCGTTTATTAATTTCATCAGATTTCTATTTAAAGTGAGCACACAAATTAGTATGCCAGTCTTGCTCAATAAGCTTCAGTATATGATACTCATACATTTTATATACAAAGTCAAAATTAATCAGAAAGTATAGCAATGTGTATGTCCCTCTGGTGATTGTGTAGCCTCAATTGTAGTGCAGTACCATGTTGGTGTGTCACTCATCAGTCGCAGTGACACTATCCTTGAACAGTATTCCTCAAACTATGCTAACTTTCCATTTTCTCTCCCGCATTGATTGTCTGCTGCCTCCTTTAAATCTAATTTATTACTTTTTTCATCTTCTGAGGTGGTGTTACATCGTTTTTACATCCTTATTTCTGTTACTATAAATAAGAATTGTTCTACAGATCAGAGACTCAAGAGATAAGTTGAGTGAACCTCGACCTGGGGAAGAGGAGATGGCTGACAGAGACAGACAGCCAGCTCTTTATTGGATACACTCCTGAGTGGGACCTTCAGCTGTTCATGGAGGCTCAGTCTGCTGCCAGTGAAAAATAGTATGTACAGTATTGAACACAACTCAAGTTAGCAGTCTCTTAGACTGTAATACACTCCTTGTTGTATTATGAACTATGGTGAATTTTTACCAAGAATGTACACCTGTAATATCTTTAATTGTGTTGTGAAGCTTGATTTTTAATTTTAATTACAGGAATGCAGGAGGGCACAAATAGATCTAACAAATATCAACGGATGACTCAAATTATGATGTCAGAAGTAATTAGCGGTTAGATTAATGTTGTAATAGTTAAATTTTAATGAGTTCTCCCTTATGAATACTGTACCAGGGAAAAGTCTTTTTTCAATCCTTTTTTTTCTTTCTTAAGTATTCAGACTTTTAGAGAGTCTCCTTAACTTATCTTTGTTTTATGAACTATTTTCCATCAAGAGGAACCCTCATGATCCATTCTGCCATATTACTCCCTGACAGAACCTTGCTTAACATCAGAATATGCTATCAAGACAGAAAATGTCTTCTGTAAGTAGCATTCTTGCCCATCTTAACCAGACCTTGGGCAATATCCAGCAATATCAGGGACTTCACACCCTCAGGGGTTCCCGTCACTGCATTTTGTTGGTAAATTTCCACATCAAGAACAAAGATTATGTGTAATCAGTAACCATAGATCTCCTGCATGAAACTGTGATTATTTGCTTAGTAGTTCACAGGCAGATAGTCAACTAAGTCCTTCAAGAAATTTTATTTCATTTTTTTTACTTGCCAACAACAGCAAGCTTGAGGTGTCTAGTTCCAACTACACCCAACCATGTACTGTACAGTACCAGGTTAGTTACTTAAGCACCCAGCTGCATTTTGGAGCCCTACCCTATGCACCAGAACCCCGAGCACGTTGCTGTTAGCACCACTTCAATTTTCTGAGCTTTTCTTTGTTTTGTATAATGTCATAAAACTTCTTTTATGTCCACTTAAGACTATGATTGGTTGTTATATGTGGGAGATTCCAAAGTGATGCTAGACCACTGGTGAGAGTTTTGAACAACTGGCTGAGTGTATACAATGGATTAACTTTTTTAGAGTTTTTGTAGCACCTCCTCCTCCCTCCCTCGTTAGCTTGTGTTGCATTAAAAATAATGACTTTAGGGTATTATCCAGAAATGGTGAGTTGATAATGCATATTATTTTTATTTATTTATTTTATTTATTTATTTATTTATTTATTTATTTTTTTTTTTTTTTGGGGGGGATGAGGAAGAGTGAAATCATTAGGCTCCCAGCTAATACTGTGGTTAAGGATTATCTATGAGAACAGTGTGTCCTGCCAGTAAGGAAATTAGACCTGTTAGATTTGACAGGCTGCCTACTGATACTTACTGGCTGGATCTCACCAGGTCACTTGTTCATCCTCTTGGCAATATAAATTTTGTGATTTAATCCTCCATTTATGGCTGAAAAGAAAGTGGGCAACTTCCTTTCTTTCCCTCCTCCCATTGGTGGAATTGTAAATTAGCATGAACTAAGGATTCTAGACCACCTTCTTATGATCAAGGGTTTTAAGTGAATTAATCTACTGTACTGAGGAGAGTTGAATCTTTGACCCCTAAACCTCTGGATCAAATGAGATCAGACCTCTGATCCTTGGTGAGGTAGGTGAAAAGTTTGCTTACAGGAAAGGCATTATTTGCCTGGACAGTGTACTATTCCCTGCCATTGAACATAGCAGGGCTGTCAGGCAAAGATGAGACTCTGTCAGGGAGTGATGTAATAACATGGTTCTTGCAGGTCACTAACTCTTCCCCGAAAGCTGGGAATGTTGTACAGATGCCGTAGATGCTTCACTCATGAGCAGTTAATTCTAGTATATAAGGGATTCATTCGTCCTAACTTGGAGTACTGCTCTCATATCTGGGGTGGCTCTTCATCTGTCCAGCTGTTCGATGGGGTAGAATCAAAGGCATTTCGTCTTTTTAATTCTTCTCCTTTAGTCGATAATCTCTCTTCCCTTTTTCTTTGCCTCGATGTTGCTTCACCCTCTCTTTTACAGGTACAGTAGACTTGCAACTTACGTGAGGTTCGTTACTGGGAGTTCGCGTAAAGTCAGAAACACCCCTAAACCGCCCTTAAATCACTATACAGTACAGTATATATGTATACTGTACGTACATATACACTAGAACTCCTAACTCACTACTGTAATGTGATAACGGTGATTAATTTTTATCTCTTGTGTAAAATATATGATGTCTATATTCAAATTATTCGCTGTCTTGCAAGGATTCTAACAATGAAAATTATATTCTCCTAACTTTGAGCCTATAACCACCAAACCCTGGGGGTGATGTGTTTGACACCTGGTGCCGGGAGGTCTAGTGAAGTATTTATTTATTTATTTATTTATTTATTTATGTCCTTTAAAGTATGTTTTTGTATTTTGCTTATAAAATATCACTGAACTGACCTGAGAGAATATAATTTACATTGCTGGGATTCTTATAAGATAGTGATCAATTTGAATATAAACAATAGTTTGCACTACACATAATAAAAATATATAATTGAGTTTGAAATTGGAAATTGTAACCTAACCCCCAGGGTAATCCGGGTATAGGTGAAACCTCTTAAGAAAAATAAGCGTAAGTTCTTAGTCTGCTGTACTTTAACGGGCAATTTGGTGGATTTGGCATCCTGTGTCCCGCCGGCAAGGCAGTGGGCCCATAACACTCGTCTTGCCCATGGAGCCCACTGTTTCTGTGGATGTCGGTCACACTAGAATAACCCGTTGTAGTACAGCCTTCTTTCCTTACACAGCCAAACTGTATGAATACTCTGCCTTCTTCCGTGTTTCCATACTCATGCAATCTGTTTCACATCAAAAAGATGGTTTTCCTCCATCTTCGTGGTGTGATAATAGTCTTTTTGTCTTCTATTTTTAATTTCTTTTTACTCTTATTTTGTTTGCACCCCAGGCCCCTTTGTGGGTCAATGACCTGTGCAGTGGGCTTCCGACTCACCAAAATTGCTAAATTCAACAAAAAAAAAGGTAAGAAAAGTTCACTTACTTTGAGGAGGTGTGTATGTAGAAGGCTCCTGAATGATGATGATGATGTGCATTTGAAGGAGGTGGGAGGTGGAGGAGAAAGGGAGAAGAAGAGAAGGAGGAAGTGGAGGTGGAGGAGAAGCATTTTACTGCTTCTTGGAAGGTGAGTCACCTTCCATGAAAATATCAGAACACTCTGTGGACTGACAGATTCTCCACCATGAACATCCTCTCTCCTTCTTGGAGGTGGAAGGCTGAGGGGATAATCTTGTTCCCTCTGCCTTTTACTGAAAAGAAAGTGTGTCAATTGTGGTCTGTGGGGCATCTGTCATCTCACCATTAACTTATGTTTTAAAGGAAGGAGACCACTGGGTCCTCAACATGACATAAAGTCAGTTCAGTTTTTCCACTTCTGGGTGCTGAAGCCCAGTTCCTGAACTTCTCCCAGTGGTAAATCACATATTTCAACTATTTAGCTAACATATGGTCATCACTTTTCAATTTCCTCCTCACCACTGTCAGCCTCTACCTGTAACATCTCATCCGAGTTGCTTCAAGTTATCAGAGTAAGTTCCTCCTTATGAGACATCAGGCTCTTCCATCCTCACTCCTCTACTGCAAGGCCCAATGACTGACCAATGGACTGTCCTCTGGTCCAACTCTGTTTCTTCCTCAAATCCCTCAAAATCATGGACTACTGATGGCCACAGTGCTTTCCATGAGGAAAATTGAGGGGATCTAGTGAGAACTTCTTGCCATGATGACACAATCAGGTTTTACAGCCTCCAGGATGTTGAATTATTATCTTCAAGAAATATTTCCAGTGGTAGTTCAGGATCATTTGGAAGTTGCCTGATGACACCTCCTAAACATTTTCTTCATGTACAACTTCTTGAAGTTGCTGATCACATTCTGGTCATTGAGAAAACAGCCTTGATTGATGTAGTGTTTGGAGGCAAAAACAACACTTTCACAAAGTCAAATTATTCTCAAATTTCTGGCAAGGTGGGGTCATGACGGAGCATTGTATCCATGAGGAGAAAAGAGCCTTTAAAAGAGGGAGTTTATTGGTGGTTAGGTGACTTTCTTGACGGAAGAGGCAAAACACATCAACAGCCCATTCATTAAAGAGCTGTCTTGTCACTACATGCCTTCTGATTGGGCTTCCAATAAACTCCTAGCTGTTCTTACCACTTTCTGTTGTAGACACCCTGGGGTTTTCAAATTGGTAGACAAAGCGTAGGCTTCAGTCAAATCCCTGAAGCATTGGCACCAAGCAATAAGTAGGAGCGGTCTTTCATGGGTTTTATGCCCGGGTAAAGAGGGAAGCTTCATCTTTCAGTGATGAATGTTCTTTTTGGGCATCTTTTCCAAGAACAGCCCAGTTTCGTCCACATTGAACACTTGCTGTGGAAGATAATTTTCTTCTTCCATCAGTTTTTAAATTCATCCTAAGAATTTGCTGCCTTCTTTATCAGCACTAGCAGCTTCACCATGCCTAACAACACTGAAAATGTCACTTCTTTTCTTAAATTTTTCGAACCAGCCTTTGCTGGCCCGAAAATCTTCAAATTCTGTGCCTGAAGAACCAGGTTGATCTGCCTTTAAATGTTAAGTAGAAATCTCCCTGGCTCTTTCACAAATGAATTCAGTAGAAACTGAATCACCTTTCATCTGTTTTCCTAATCCAGATGAAGTAAGTATCCTCTCAGTTTCTGCAGTGGGGATCTACTTTTAAACACTCTTGTAGATTTGTCTCTCACTTTCACTTCTTTAAATTTGTCTTTCTGTGCAAGAATTGTGACACAGTTGATGTCGACATGCCATATTCTTTGCATAAGCGCATTTGTTCTAATGCCTTATTCATGTTTTATGATTTCTTGCTTGGTTTGGATTGGAAAATAGCTTTTTCTTGGTCTCTTAGGCTAATGCTGGATTCAAACAATGTCAACCGCGATGCTTTTTCAAAGTTAAACTTTACATTTGTAAATGAAGAATATTTTCTTTAAAATAGCACTGCACTAAGCTGTATATTGTCAATCTGTAAAATAAATTTCAAAATGACCAATAATTTGCTTGGAAACACACAGAAAAGGCGCATTTAGTTGAGAGAGAGTCTCAAGCAAGATATTTACCTCCAGTGAAAACAGAGAGACTAGCGCCTGTTTGCTGTAAAAGAGAGGCTGGATGCAGCGCATTAAACTAGTCACTTTACCTTCAATTATGTTCAATGATTGTTAAAATGACTAAAAAATTGAATATTAAACTTTTAAAATTATTGAATAGTATAAACTTCTTGATATATACTAAAATAGTAAGGAATTTAAGCCCTAGAGCCGATTTATGTATTGGCGGACTAATACTACAGCTGGTTGACCGCCCAGTGCAAGCCAAAACTTGTTGAGGTCAGCTTGTAAGAAACTCGTTAACCGAGGGGTTGCTCGTTAACCGAATTTAAGAATCTTATGAGAGGCAGCTCGTTAACCGAAATCTCGTTAACCGGTCGCCTGTTAACCGAGGGACCACTGTATTGGTACAAGTACAGTATATTGAACTAAACTTTCCTATAGGAATCCCTGCCTCTCCTTTAAGTATATTTTCCTTTCTCCCTTAAATCTTTCAATATGTCAGCAGTTTGCTTACCCTTCAGATCTCTTATTGTGTTAGTGATATCCATTACCTCATGTTCTAAACACCTAATTTTAATTCCTTTTTTAATTTACATTTTGCTCTTTTGTGTTGCTCAAAGGGTATAACTTTTTTCCATCTTTTTGTAATTCTTTTGATATTGTTTTGACATTTTAGCAAAATTTCTCATTAGTTTTTAAGCTTATTGTTGTGATAAATTCTTCAATAAATATGCTATTGAATATTTATTTTCCTGCAGGAAGATGACCTAAGAGGCCTTCCAGATAGTAAAGGAATCCGTTATATTGAAATGGGTCGTTACGAGATGGAAGCCTGGTATCAGTCCCAGTACCCGGACGACTACAACCAGCAACCAAAAATATACATCTGCGAGTTTTGTCTTAAATACATGAGATCCAGAACTATATTGCAGAGACATGCTGCTAAATGTGTATGGAAACACCCACCAGGAGATGAAATCTATAGGTAAAATTTTTGGCTCTCTGATCAATGTGTAGGCACTTTTGAAGAGTAATTGATCAATGTACAGGCACTTTTAAAGAGTAATTGTGCCATAAGTTTAATGCTGAAAGTTTAAAAGCTTTAAATTTTAACTGAATTTCTCCCTTTCCACAGAGATTGAAGTTTTAGGGCCTTGATAGGACAGTGATTAGCTTTTTGCAAACTCATCCATACTGTTAACCTCATCATTATTGCTTCCACTTTCTCTTTTCTCTGACTCCGCTCTTTGTTTCTGTACTACTGTGTGAAAATTTAAAGGAAATTCAGGTTTGATGGTCATTTTTGGTAACTGCCACATTCTCATTAGTACAGTGCAGGGTGTCCTCGTAATAAGTGGTTAAGAGGGACCAGAAAAAAGCCACTGCTAATGAAACCACTCATAAAGGGGAATTAATTCCCATAAGAATTAACAGGAATAGGGTTTAATCGGGACTGCCACATTGTAAGTGACACTCATAAAGTTTAATTTTATATCTTTTATCAGTTATATATATACCTTTGAAACATTTGTTAAACATTATTTTATGAAATTGTTTAGCTTTACAACTTATTTAAGGTACTTAAAGTTGTTTGGGGTCAGTGTGTTGATGCAGTGCAAGCTACCTAACCATGCAATCACACTCTCATTTCAGTGAAAGTGGTTCATTGAGACATGCTCACCACTTTTCTTACAACATATAACTTCTAATTTCACATCCATCCCACTACACCACCTTGCTTCGGTTTGGTACTGACGGCTACAAAAATAATCCACCATTGTCACCAAAAACATAACAAAGTTGATACAGGTTGAACCTCCCTAATCCGGTATTCTATTGTCCGGCACCTCCGTGTCCGGCAAAATTTTAGTTTGCCTTGCAGCCACTAGTACCCACCGTAGCTATTATGTATAGTTCGGCGTACCCTTTGTTTACATATGGTCCTTGTGGAGTTTGGTGCGTTCCTAGGTATTTCAAGTGTTTCTGTAATATTTCACTTGTTATTTACCCTTAATATGCCTCCTAAGCATATTTATTTTATTATTTCATTTACTGTACAGATATTTTTTTCCTCTTTACAGGTAAACATCACCAATTTAATAATAATAATAATAATAATTAACAGTTTATTGAAAAAATTCTGCAGCCCGAAGGCTGAAAATATACATTGGACATAAATGACTTATTACATACATTGGTGGTTTAACAAAAGCCTTCATTAGAAAGGTAAAGGAACATACAGTGAACATACAGATTAATTTAGGTGTTGAACAGCAAACTCGTAGTGTAGTAACTCCCTCCCAGATGGTGTTAGGAGGAACTCACTTGGTGTAGTAGTTCCTCAGATGGTGTTATGAGGGACCTGGCGTGGTGTAGTAATTCCTCTTGAATGGTGTTATGAGGGCCTCACGTGGTGTAGTAATTCCCTCAGAATGTGTTATGAGGGACCTCACGTGGTGTAGTAATTACCTCACAGATGGTGTTATGAGGGACCTCATGTTGTAGTAATTACCTCACAGATGGTGTTATGAGGGGCCTCACGTGGTGTAATACTTCCCTCACAGATGGTGTTATGAGGGGCATCACGTGGTGTAGTAATTCCCTCACAGATGGTGTTATGAGGGGCCTGACGTGGTGTAGTAATTCCTCACAGATGGTGTTATGAGGGACCTCACATGGTGTAGTAATTCCCTCACAGATGGTGTGATGAGGACTTGGCGTGGTGTAATTCCCTCACATATGGTGTTATGAAGGACATGTGGTGTAGTAATTCCTTCACAGATGGTGTTATATGAGTGAGGTTTGGTCTTAGGTCTTCCTATCGTAGAGCGGATTAACACATCGCTGGTTGTTGTTGGGCTCACGGGCCGTTATCACTGGGTACCTGGGACCTCACTGTGTGAAGGTTAACAGGTACGACTGTTACTGTTGAGTTGTTCTCACTGACTTAAGCACTGTTCACCACTGTTCACCTCTGTTTAACACTGGTTCCGTTCCTTTCCTAAATGAAATTGTAACTTCTGGCAAGTTTTTGTCATTTTAAGTGCAGAATGAGAATTATTGTTCATCGATTTTCGTTTATTATAATTACTGTACACTGTACAGTAGAACGTGGATATAACACGAGATATGTTCCAAGAGAGGTCGCTTTAAACCAGTCGCACTTTCATCGAAGTGTTGTTTCAATGGAATAATTTAGTTTGGTACTTGAGAGAAATACAAAATACTAAAAAGACTCAGAGTCTACCCAGATGCACCTCAGCCCATCTAAAATAAACAAAACATTGTTTTTTGGTAGTATTATGTTAAAACAAACACTCATAAATTAACTCAGCTAAAATCAAGGGATGTGAAATGGTCTGTTTACTGGCTGGGAAGATGGGGGGTGGGGGAGGGAGGTGAGGTGATATGTTTGACAGTTGGCGCGAAGGTCTAATATGTGTTTATCAGTCTTTAAGAGTGACTAAGTTTTTATCTTATAAAATGCCACTGAAATGCCCTGGGAGAATATAATTAACATTGCTGGGATTCTTGTAAGATAGTGATTAATTTGGATGTAAACAAGCTATTATTTGCACTAGACATAAAAAATTTAATACCATAATCATTTAGTACATGTACAGTACATGTTTGCACTTAGGTCATTTATTTCTTTTACATTTCTTTTAGTATTGTGTGTGCATGTAAATGAATAAAAATAAATGAATAAATTTATGTAAATCTACCCAAAAATACAGTTGAAAAATTTGTACATTATTAAAATGTACTTAACTAATGTACTAAAAATTTTATCTCTTGTGCAAAATATATATGATGTCTAGATTCAAATTATTCACTGTCTTGCAAGGATTCCAGCAATGCAAATTATATTCTCCTAACTTTAGTCTGTGATATAATATAAGATACAAACTTTAAGCCTAAAACCACCAAACCCTGGCTAGGAAGATGGGGGGGGGAGGGAGGGAGGAAGGGGAGGTGACAGTGACATGTTTGACAGTTGGCACTGAAGGTCTAGTGAAGTATTTATGTGTTTATTTCTGTCCTTTAGATTTAGTTTTCGTTTTTTGATTATATAATGTCACAAGTGACCGGGGAGAATATAATTTACGTTGCTGGAATTCTTATAAGATAGTGATTAATTTGATTACAGTGAACCCTCACTTTACGCAGTCAATTGAACCTGACGGGCGTCTGCTGCATAAGTGAGAAAACGCCAGAAGTGAACAACATAACATATGGGATTAATTGAAATAGAGACTGGGCCAACCCCAAACTCCACTTTTTCAGACACACTACGCTTGTAAAAAATAACTTTATTTTTATGATGGTATGCACACACAATTAATAATTAAGAGAAATATCAATAATATTAGGTTTTTAACACTTACATTAGTAGAAAAGATAGCTGCACACGGGATGGGGGGGTGGTTCCGAGGCAGAGGGCAGATTATTGGCCCTCACCTGTGTCACGTATCAATTGATCACTATCCACCACAGAGGCTTGCAGGGCCTCTTTGTCAAACCCCCAAGTCCATATAAGTCCATATCCTCACTATCATTATCACTATCACTGACTTGGGCGCCTGGTGGGTGGCGGGTGAAGAACTCGTAATGTTTTGATGATTGGGCGACCTTAGGCGCCCTGCTCGCGCCGGCCTGCGAAAAGGGTACACACACCGGCGAAAGTGAGCATTCCGTGTTCGCAGGGTACTGCCAGAACGTGGAAACGCCAGAAGTGGGACCGCAGAAGCGAGGGTTGACTGTATAAACATGCTATAGTTTGCACTAGACAAAAATTCTAGTAATCATTTAGTACATTATTTTGAGTACATGTACAGTACAGCTTTGCCCTTAGGACAGTGTAGCGTGCCCAGAGAAACATTAGGCACAAAATTATAAATATGGTGCATCAGATTGACGCAGCAATAATACTATGTATTTTACAAAGACCGTTTGTGGTTCGGAAAATTCTATTGTCCGGCAACGGTCAGGTCCAAAGGGTGCCGGATTATGGAGGTTCAACCTGCAATTATGGTTCTTGGGGCTCTTTAAAATAATGCCTGTAGACACAGGCGACTGGGACTGAGCATGCATAGTGTGGGTGAGAAGGATAACCTTTAAGAGAATGGGAGGCAGGCGAGAGTTTCAATTGCTCAAACACTTATGCTCCGAAAGATTAACGGATTTCAGCCTTAGACTCCTCTTAACTGTGGGGACTTTTACCCAGAGGTCCTCAATTATTTGACCACGTAAGTGCGAAACCACTTATAATGAAGATACTTATAACGATGACCCCTGTATACAATACAGTACAATAAAGTACAGTACAGGGTAAATTGTATTGTGTCTGAATATTTTGATATACCCTTCAGTACTATGAGCAAAAATAGAAAGGAAAGTAAAATAGATGCTGCTGTTTTTTTATGGACTCATATCAGCTGAGAGCAACCAATCAACTGAAGAAAATCAAAAGCTTACCCTGCCCTCACAAGTTGGCAGGTCAGGTGCATCTTCTGTTAGCACTTGTCGTTATTTATTCACACTTCAATCTTGATTTAAACCTCAAGTTTTTTTGCTCCTTTCTGAGACTGAACAATTGCAGTCCAGGAAGCAGTTGCTTAGACTCAAGGTGATTATCTTTGTTAAAAGGTGTTTTGAAGACAAAACTACAGCAGTGTTGAAGTGAGGAAAAAGTAGTGTCTCAAGGTAATTTGTTTGGACTGCAGCCCCATATCCTGTATTTGTTAATGATACAGTATATAGTATCACGATTTGCTTTGTCATTGTAATTCTCGGTACCATTCTCACGACATCTGAGGATATAATGTGCTACTTCTACATAAGACAGATTTTACATACACATGTAATTAGTGTGCATAAATGTGTGTGTGTGTGTGTCCATGTATGAGTGTTGTCTAATGGTAGACCCTGCTGCCATGTGGCATCACAAAAATTATGACCAAGTCCCAGGTTGCTGATCTGACTTTCTGCCTCATTTACACACAATTGCAGGTCTCAATTTCTTTTTTACGACAACGCAACATATACAGTATACAGTCAACCCTCACTTTACGCGGTCCCATTCCGCTTCCATTTAGCGTGCCCTGCGGAACCCAGGATGCTCATTCCATGGTGCGTGCCCCCTTCTGCGACGGCTGGCAAGCCGGGCCATTTTGGATCAACCTCCGCCATCCGCCATGTTGTGTGGCGACCATTTGCCTGAGTCGCCCAGTCATCAAAACATTACCAGTTCTTCACCGCACCACAGCCAGCAAGTCAGTGATAGTGATAATTATGGTGAGGATATGGACTTATATGGACTTTGGGGGTTTGACAAAGAGGCCCCTGCAAGCCTCTGTGGTGGATAGTGATACAATTGATACAAGTGAGGGCCAATACCCTCTGCCTCAGAACCAACCGCATCCCGTGTGTGCAGCCATCTTTTCTACTAATGTAAGTGTTAAAAACCTAATATTATTGATATTTCTCATAATAGTATTGTGCATACTATCATAAAGTTAAGATAATATTTTTACTACAACATAGTTGTGTGTGTCAAAAAGTGGAGTTTGGGGGGTGCGGTCTCTATTTCAATTAATCCCATATGTTATGTTATTCACTTTACGCGTTTCTCACTTTCCGCGGTACCCTGTGGGTTACATTAACCGCGTAAAGTGAGGGTTGACTGTATAGCGTTTCTTAGTCTTGATTTTTTTTTTAGTTCTTTATTATTATTATTAATGATGTTATTAATATTTGTTTTATCATTATTATTTTATTTTACTTGTTATTATAAATTTTATTTACTATGAATAATTATTACATTTTGCCCCCCAGGCACCAATGTGTGGCCTAGAATTTCTTTCATCTTATGTATTATTTTTTTACTTTCAGAAAAGACAAATTGTCAGTATGGGAAGTGGATGGCAAAAAGTATAAGATTTATTGTCAGAATCTATGCTTACTGGCTATGCTTTTCCTTGACCACAAAACACTCTACTATGATGTTGAGCCATTCCTCTTCTACATTATGACACAAGCAGATGGTGAGGGTTGTCACATAATTGGATACTTTAGTAAGGTATGTAAATTTGTATTTCTTTTACTTTGAATTGTGATGTACTTTGTTAATACAGTATATCTGTCTCTATATTTCATATATAAAGGCTTAAGGTGCACCACCTTCACTGTTCATAATTTCTGCACATTTTTCTATACTTGTACTCTTGTGGCAAGCTGACTCTCTCACACACTTTTAGTTTTTATATTCTACATCCTTATTTTTTCACATTACGTATCTATTTCCAGTCATGTTACTGAGAAAGGAACATCTATTATTTCAGTAACTTAATCAGTTCATTGCTCCTTCATATTCCTTATTTTTTTTAATTATATGGTACCTGTACAGTATTTGAAATTCTCATAACAGAATGGTACCTTAACATCACTTTCTCCCTCCCTGATTCTTTACCCTATTTGTTCTTTGAATTTTGCAGTAACTATTATGAAAATAAATTCTCTTGTTCAATACTACCACTACCACTGTTTACTGGTGTAGATCCATCACTAGCCTGCATTAATTGTGCTCTGTCAGTTTACTTAGTATGCTGAACTCATGCTCATTTTATACATTGAGGTTCTGCGTTGATTGAATTATCCCCCCCCAAAAAATTTCTAAATATATTGAAACTATCTCAAATTTGTTGATTTTTGCCACAATTCGAGAGAAATTCAACCTATTTATGGGATGTGAGTTATGACATTTCATATTGGGAAGCCTAACATGACAAATGTACATGTACATTTTGCCCTTAATACAGATTTATACATGGTCTGTATTGTGACCCTTTATTTTTTTGTGCACAGTCTGGATTCACTTATATACTGTATAGTTCAGCATGGTCACCACGTGGGGCCAAGTAGTGTGCCATGCATAATCTACACTCTTTTATATAGTTAGGTCAGCCACAGGTCATACAGTACCTTAGTTAGGTCAGCTACAGGTCATACTGTACCTGGGGGTTAGGTCAGCTACAGGTCATACTGTACCTGAGAGTTAGGAGAACTACAGATCATGTACTAATTGAGGGAGTTAGGGTAGTAACAGGTCATACACTACCTGGAGGTTAGGTCAGCTACAGGTCATACACTACCTGGGGGTTAGGTCAGCTACAGGTCATACTGTACCTGAGAGTTAGGAGAACTACAGATCATGTACTAATTGAGGGAGTTAAGGTAGTAACAGGTCATACACTACCTGGAGGTTAGGTCAGCTGGTCATACACTACCTGGGGGTTACAGCTACAGGTCATACTGTACCTGGGAGTTAGGTCAGCTACAGGTCATACACTACCTGGGGTTAGGTCAGCTACAGGTCAACACTACCTGGGGGTTAGTCAGCTACAGGTCATACACTACCTTGGGGGTTAGGTCAGCACAGGTCATACACTACCTTGGGGGTTAGGTCAGCTACAGGTCATACACCACTTAGGGGTCAGCTACAGGTCATACTGTACCTGGGGATTAGGTCCTGCTACAGGTCATACACTACCTGGGGGTTAGGGCCACAGGCCATACACTACCTGGGGGTTAAGTCAGCTACAGGTCATACTGTACCTGGGAGTTAGGTCAGCTACAGGTCATACACTACCTGGGGGTTAGGGTCAGCTACAGGTCATACACTACCTGGGGGTTAGGGTCGCTACAGGTCATACTGTACCTGGGAGTTAGGTCAGCTACAGGTCATACACTACCTGGAGGTTAGGTCAGCTACAGGTCATACTGTACCTGGGAGTTAGGGAGAACTACAGATCATGTACTACTTGGAGGGAGTTAGGTAGTAACAGGTCACACTACCTGGAGGTTAGGTCAGCTACAGGTCATACACTACCTGGGGTTAGGTCAGCTACAGGTCATACACTACCTGAGGGTTAGGTCACACAGGCCACACACTACCTGGGGTTAGGGTCAGCTACAGGTCATACACTACCTAGGGGTTAGGTCAGCTACAGGCCATACACTACCTGGGGGTTAAGTCAGCTACAGGTCATACTGTACCTGGGGGTTAGGTCAGCACAGGTCATACACCTACCTGGGGGTTGTCGCTACAGGTCATACTGTACCTGAGGGTTAGGTCAGCTACAGGTCATACACTAACTGGGGTTAGGTCAGCTGCAGGTCATACACTACCTGGGGTTAGGTCAGCTACAGGTCACTAATTACCTGGAGGTTAGGTCAGCTTCAGGTCATACACTACCTGGGGGTTAGGTCAGCTACAGGTCAACTACCTGGAGGTTAGGCTGGCCACAGGTCATACTGTACCTGGGGGTTAGGTCAGCTACAGGCCATACACTACCTGGGTTAAGTCACACAGGTCATACACTACCTGGGGGTTAGGTCAGCTACAGGTCATACTGTACCTGGGGAGTTAGGAGAACTACAGATCATGTACACTTGAGGAGTTAGGGTAGTAACAGGTCATACACTACCTGAGGTTAGGTCAGCTACAGGTCATACACTACCTGGGGGTTAGGGTCAGCTACAGGTCTCACACTACCTGAGGGTTAGGTCACACAGGCCACACTACCTGGGGGTTAGGTCAGCTACAGGTCATACACTACCTAGGGGTTAGGTCAGCTACAGGCCATACACTACCTGGGGTTAAGTCAGCTACAGGTCATACTGTACCTGGAGTTAGTCAGCTACAGATCATACACTACCTGGGGGTTAAGTCAGCTACAGTCAGCATTGTACCTGAGGGTTAGGTCAGCTACAGGTCATACACTACCTGGGGGTTAGGTCAGCTGCAGGTCATCACACTACCTGGGGTTAGGTCAGCTACAGGTCATACACTACCTGGAGGTTAGGTCAGCTTCAGGTCATACACTACCTGGGGGTTAGGTCAGCTACAGGTCATGCACTACCTGGAGGTTAGGGTCAGCTACAGGTCATACTGTACCTGGGGGTTAGGTCAGCTACAGGTCATACTGTACCTGGGGAGGGGTCAGCTACAGGTCATACACTACCTGAGGGTTAGGTCAGCTACAGGTCATACACTACCTGGGGGTTAAGTCAGCTACAGGTCATACACTACCTGGGGGTTAGGTCAGCTACAGGTCACACTACCCGCAAGTTAGGTCAGCTACAGGTCATGCACTACCTGGTTAGGGCTGCCAGGTCATACTGTACCTGGGGGTTAGGTCAGCTGAGGTCATACACTACCTGGGGGTTAGGTCAGCTACAGGTCATACTGTACCTGGGGATTAGGTCAGCTACAGGTCATACACTACCTGGGGGTTAGGTCAGCTACAGGTCATACACTACCTGGGGGTTAGGTCAGCTACAGGTCATACACTACCTGCAGGTTAGGGTCACAGGTCATACATTACCTGAGGGTTAGGTCAGCTACAGGTCATACACTACCTGGGGTTAGGGTCAGCTACAGGCCACACTACCTGGGGGGTTAAGTCAGCTACAGGTCATACTGTACCTGGGAGTTAGGTCAGCTGCAGGTCATACTGTACCTGGGGGTTAGGCAGCTACAGGTCATGCACTACCTGGAGGTTAGGGTCACAGGTCATACACTACCTGGGGATTAGGTCAGCTACAGGTCATACACCACCCGCAGGTTAGGTCAGCTACAGTCATACATTACCTGAGGGTTAGGTCAGCTACAGGTCGTCTACACTACCTGGGGGTTAGGTCAGCTGCAGGTCATACACTACCTGGGGGTTAGGTTAGCTACAGGTCATACACTACCTGGAGGTTAGCCAGGTCATACACCTGGGGGTTAGGTCAGCTACAGGTCATACACACCTGAGGTTAGGTCAGCTACAGTTCATACTGTACCTGGGGGTTAGGTCAGCTACAGGTCATGCACTACCTGGGAGTTAGGTCAGCTACAGGTCATACACTACCTGGGGGTTAAGTCAGCTACAGGTCATACACCTACCTGGGGGTTAGGTCACACAGCTCATACACTACCTGCGGGTTAGGTACACAGGTCACACACTACCTGGGGTTAGGTCAGCAGGTCATACTGTACCTGGGAGTTAGGAGAACTACAGATCATGTACTACTTGAGGGAGTTAGGTAGTAACAGGTCATACACTACCTGGAGGTTAGGTCAGCTACAGGTCATACACTACCTGGGGGTTAGGTCAGCTACAGGTCATACTGTACCTGGGAGTTAGGGTCAGCTACAGGTCATACACTACCTGGAGGTTAGGTCAGCTACAGGTCATACTGTACCTGGGAGTTAGGTCAGCTACAGGTCATACACTACCTGGAGGTTAGGCAGCTACAGGTCATACTGCACCTGGGAGTTAGGGTCAGCTACAGGTCATATACTACCTGGGGTTAGGTCAGCTACAGGTCATACACTACCTGAGGTTAGGTCAGCTACAGGTCATACACTACCTGGGGTTAGGTCAGCTATAGGTCATACACTACCTGGGGTTAGGCTGGCTACAGGTCATACTGTACCTGGGGGTTAGGTCACTACAGGTCATACTGTACCTGGGGTTAGGTCAGCTGCAGGTCATGCACTACCTGGGGTTAGGTCAGCAGGTCATACTGTACCTGGGGTTAGGTCAGCTACAGGTCATGCACTACCTGGGGTTAGGTCAGCTACAGGTCATACTGTACCTGGAGTTAGGGAGAACTACGGATCATGTACTACTGAGGGAGTTAGGGTAGTAACAGGTATACACTACCTGGAGGTTAGGTCAGCTACAGGTCATACACTACATGGGTTAGGTCAGCTACAGGTCATACACTACCTGGTGGGTTAGGTCAGCTACAGGTCATACACTACCTGAGGGTTAGATCGGCTACAGGTCATACCCTACTTGGGAGTTAGGTCAGCTGCAGGTCATACTGTACCTGGGAGTTAGGAGAACTACAGATCATGTACTACTTGAGGGAGTTAGGGTAGTAACAGGTCATACACTACCTGGAGGTTAGCCACAGGTCATACACTACCTGGGGGTTAGGTCAGCTACAGGCCATACACTACCTGGGGGTTAGGTCACTACAGGTCATACTGTACCTGGGGGTTAGGAGAACTACAGATCATGTACT